AGAAGTAAACAATCTAGGACAACATAGCTGAACCGGAAAGTCAGCTCAATTGGAGAATATTTCCAAATCAGCTATTTTGGCTTAGATTGTCCACTTCTCCTGCCCTCTCCAAAATCTTCACCTTTTATGAATAACCTTGTTAGGTTAATCTTGCCTGAAATTTTTTTCACACCAATTTATAGGTTCCTTGAGGGGACAAAAACACAACACGCCATTGCTGACTTGTTTTTAGCAAGTTCCAGAGCTGTCAGCTTTATCCTTTCTTGACTACTTGATGAAAGCATGACCGGCAAGCATGTGCACATCAACAACTATTTATAGTATATTGCTAGTATTCCTGCACAACCGGCGGCCAGCAGCACATACATGTATATCTAGTTCAAAAATAGTGGTCAAATACAATATTCCAACCAATACAAGGTGTTTTTTCTTTCAATGATCTGACCACAAAGTACTCAAGTTGACATGGGATCTGTGCTACTACGTCAAGAAGTTATTGGAGTATTTGTTAAGATACTTCATCTGCCTACAGCTAATTAATCGAGTAATCTGCAAGAGCAACCACTTTATTAAAAAGCTTTTGTAACCTACTTGCCCCTGTATCCAGTAGCAAAACAGATACAGATTACAAGTGCATGAAAGAAACAATCTTTTCAAACTGGTTAGAGATTTAATAGAACTAAAGCCAAACCTTGTTTTTGCATCACTTCTTTACTTCCTTTTTGCGTTGTACATTCACCAATTCACATGGAGCGATACTGCGCATTTGTGGCCATCGTAGAAGCGTTGGTGTATCGTCTATCCAGACCTTGCACATGATGAACATAGCACACTGGGCACTGCTTATACATTCAGAACTTGTACATGATGAACATAACACTGGGCACTGCTTACACTTCGAGAACTAGTGCATGATGAACATAGCACACTGGGCACTGCTTATGCTTCCAGAACATGCGCATGATTAACATAGCACACTGGGCACAGCTTATACTTGCAGATCATGTACATGATGAACATAACACAATAGGCACCGTTTAGACTTTCAGAACATGCGCATAATGAACATAGCACAATGGGCACAGCTTATACTTGCAGATCATGTACATGATGAACATAAACACAATATGCACCGCTTAGACTTTCAGAACATGCTCATGATGAACATAGCACACTTGGCACCGCTTATGCTTCCAGAAATTGTACATGATGTACACAACACACTGGGAACTGTTTGTACTTGCAGAACTTGTACATGCTGAACACAACACACTGGCACCGCTTATGCTACCAGAACTTGTACATGATGTACATAATACACTGGGCACCGCTTATACTTGCAGAACTTGTACATGATGAACATAGCACATTGGAAACCGTTGGTAGTTGAAGAACTTGTACATGATGACCACAACACACTGGGAACCGCTTATGCTTCCAGAACTTGTACCTGATGAACATAGCACACTGGGAACCGTTTGTACTTGCTGAACTTGTACATACTAAACACAACACACTGGGCACTGCTTATGCTTCCAGAACTTGTATATGATGAACATAGCACACTGGGCACCGCTTATACTTGCAGAACTTGTACATGTTATACTGGCAGACCTTGTACATGTTGTACATAGCACACAGGGCATTGTTTATGCTTCCAGAACTTGTGGATGATGAACATAGCACACTGGGAACTGCTTATGGTTCCAGAACTTGTACATGATGAACATAGCACACTGGCAACCATTTGTACTTGCAGAACTTGTACATGATGAACATAGCACACTGGGCAGCGCTTATACTTGCAGAACTTGTACATGATATACTGGCAGACCTTGCACATGTTGTACATAGCACACTGGGCATTGTTTATGCTTCCAGAACTTGTGGATGATGAAAATAGCACACTGGGGACTGCTTATGCTTCCAGAACTTGTACATGATGAACATAGCACACTGGTAAACCGGTTTGTACTTGCAGAACTTGTACATGATGAACATAACACACTGGGCACCGCTTATGCTTCCAGAACTTGTACATGATGAACATAGCTCACTGGGCACCGCTTATGCTTCCAGAACTTGTACATGATGAACATAACACACTGGGCACCGCTTATGCTTCCAGAACTTGTACATGATGAACATAGCACACTGGGAACCGCTTATGCTTCCAGAACTTGTACATGATGAACATAGCACACTGGGAACCGCTTATGCTTCCAGAACTTGTACATGATGAACATAGCACACTGGGAACCGTTTGTACTTCCAGAATTTGTACATGATGAACATTATACACTGGGCACTGCTTATGCTTCCAGACTTTATACATGATGAACATAATACACTGGGCACCGCTTATGCTTCCAGAACTTGTACATGATGAACATTGCAAACTGGGCACTGTAATTGCAGAACTTGTACATGATGTACATAGCTCACTGGGCACCACGTATACTTCCAGTACTTGTACATGATGAACATAGCTCACTAGGCCCCGCTTATACTCAGAATGTTTATGTGATGAACATAGCACATTGTGTTACCCCTCATATTTCCAGAACATGTATATGAATTAGAGTACAGGCTACTTAAATACTATTCACAAAATAGCTGATTTTGCTGCGCTCCCTTGTAATATCAAATCTGCAAGAAAGGTGGAGTTACATTACATATCGGGAAATCAAACTGTTACATTCTCCATCAATCAACAGCTTTCTTGCCTGCAGGTACTGGAGCTAATTTAAAATACAGTGACTAAAAATAGAAGCACATTATGAAGAAAATGGGTTAAAGCTAAACCTTCGACACTATACAAACTGGTGCCGGAATGCACAGGTCATCATTGTAAAGGCTTGTGATCCAATTACTTAATTGCAAGTCCACACTAGCTAATCAATTCATCCATTTTATGCAATATCAAGGAAAGATGAAGGTCTAGTTTTAACAGATTGGATTTTCTACTTACAGCAGACAAGAACTAAATGAACAAGAACTGAAATATGCTACTTAATGTCACTGATAGCTCAAACATCATTGCAATGCATATTAACTCAGGCTGATCACTTTGGTATCAAAAGTTACATAAACCTCTGGTTTACTTTTACATTTGACATGGCCCTAATCAAGAGTATATCTATATACACACAAAATGCATAATTTAATTAGAATGTCTTTTGACATGCAACCAATTCTCACTAGCTCAAGTGCTTTATTTGAAGAAATTAGGAATTAAATGGGGACTAAATTTTTCCCCTCCCTGACCAACCTTTAGATGGGTTGATATGAACAACTTAAACATCTTTGCTGATAAAATCCCACTTTGAGACCATTTATTTTAGTACTGTCTCTATATTGATGCTCTATTCATGGTAGGGAGAAGGCAAATTTCAGTTATCTTGCAGTTGCAGGACTGTCTTAATTATAATAATTTGAATTTTCCATGTAATGTAATAAATTGTTTTTATATTTTAGATATTATTCATACAGACAATAGTGAAGAATCAAAAAATATATAGAAAATCCTGTAGTGTTAATGTTGTTTTGAATGCTTCTAATTGTCACTTATACCAGAGTAGTCCCTTAAGGGCAAATTTGAACAAGTCAGCTGGAATTGTTTTAAAATGTTTTCACTGGAAAAAAAGGTTCCCTTATGTGCACTAGATTACAAGATCAGGGTTTTCATTCATTGAGGTTCACCCATGCTAGAGATGTCACTACATGAGAAACAAACCACATTTACTTTTCCATTTGGCTCAGATAATACTCTATGTATGTAATAGGTTTCTCTTTCCATGGTGTGGAAAGGGTTCTCTCTTCAGGAGAGATGGAGACTTAAGCAGGGCACCCCTGAAGAAGGGAGCTTAATAGATGATCTACCTCCCATATTTCATCCGTAGCTTCATTTGTTTTTCAGTGAAGAAACGATCATCATTAGCAAATTATTACCTTTGGCGTGAATCAATTGAAATTACTGCAATGGCGGTTTAAGGATATTTTTGGTCTATTCCTATGCCAATTTTAAACATTGGGTCAACTCAACATTGGGGAATAAATTAAACTAAGTGTGGCAGATTCCAGTGGTTGAAAGAAAGATCTAAAATTGTCAAGTAGATGGTTAACAAAATGTAAAACATTTAAATATAAAACATTACGACATGGCAGAGGGTGGGAGACATAGGTAAACATTTATCCTTTTCTGAATGGATCCAACCTTGAGTGGAGTAGAGGAGTAGAGTCATTCTTTACCATGGTGCTTGTAGTTGGGCAGCTTGCACCATGAAAGGCATGACCCTTTGTGAAAATTTCGAGGCCCCCCAAGGAAACCAGAAGACACCCTGGTTGGGAAAGGCTGGGTTAATATTTTCATCTTTCTGGTAAATGCAGGTGCTGTAGGCACTACTAGCCATCTCTCATTTACATAAAGCACTACTAACTGTCCCTCATTTACATAAAGATGATTAATTAATAAAAGAAAGACTGAGAATAACTAATAAAAGAGAACTCTGCTATGTTTATTTTCGATTAATGGAGACCTAGCTGAATAGAACAAAATTATATTAAGGCATACATTCAATTGACATGAATATGAAACTGAAATAAGTGACAAACATTCACTGCAGGCGAATTAATCACTGTCATTTTAAACACACGCAGTGAATGTTTGATGAATGTCCCATTCACTGCTTTTTAAACACTCCCCTATGTGTTGTTATGGAATGTTTTTCTTTTTTGATGAATAGTGCCTTAATGCAACTACGGGCTTACATATTCCTGTGACAGAAGATAGTGTGCTTCAGTCTTCAGTGCTCTGTACTGGCATAGCTGAGTAACAGCCACACCCCTCATCAGAAGTGTCCTCCTAAAGACTTGTATTGCAGATACCCCCATGTCTGACCAGTTCTGTTAGACATACTCGAGAAATATACTTAGGTTCATGTTCTATTTTCTTGCCTTTAGGAAACCTTGTAGCACAAGCTGTGGCTATCTGGGCTTACCTGCTGGGCTTGATACCGCTGTTGAGCTTGTGACAGGTACTGACCCTGTGGCTGTGAATAGTGATGCTGCGACTGCTGGCTGTAATATGGCTGTTGGCCTTGTTGGCAGTAGCCTTGTTGACCATACTGAGGTGGAATCTGTAAGAAGAGACAAGCAAAAATGTATATAGGAATCAGTGTGGTGAGTTGAATCCATTATCATGTCTTGAAGATGTTTTCAACCACAATATTTACTACACGTTACTACAGATATCAGCCATTTTGTATTTTATTTCAACTAGGGTTATATGCGCCTGGCTGCTTTCCATGTAGCTGCATTACCGCCGCCTAGAAAAAGGAAAAGAGCCCCTTGCCATCCTGAAAGTCTGGGGTTTACTAGTTTTAGTTTAAAAAAATTAGAATGGACACAGATCCCTATCTGGCATCCTCAGACGCCATTCCTTCTGGGCCGATGCAACATGGATACCCTTGTGGACTGAGATCATATGTAAACACCCACACAAACTACCCCATACCATGACACCTATATACCCCGCTACACTTCAGTCTAGTGACATCCAAGGACTCTTTCACCTTTAGGCTGCATTCGCACCTGAGCACGAGCATTTACAGGTGATTTTGGAGCGTTTAACTTGTGTGATTTTTTGCACGTTTTATCAGGTGCATGCAGGCTTGAGATTTTGTTTTAGCCAATTGAAAGGTGGATTTTAGGAGGAGGTGGTAGTTGTTTAACCTAATTTTTAGGCAGTTTCAGGTGTTTCTCAGGTGCCTCCAACGAAGTATTATGGGCCCAAAAAAACCCCACTCTGCTCACTTAGATTTTCGAGATTCAGTTGTTGAGCTACAGGCGCCTGAGCACTCATATGTGAACAGACACAATTTAAAACCATGAGATTTTGGTTGTTGAGTGTTTTGGAGCTTGAGCTTTAAGCTACAGAATGCTTAGGTGTGAATCAGGGTATAGACTGATCATATCTGCAAACCCTTCAAACTGACAGCATCGATAGACTCATCGACAGACTAGGCCTATACTCTGACTATTTGCTGAGCTGACATTCCTTAATACCGGCACCACATACTCAATAGCCATAGAATTTTTTGGGTTGTTTAAAGTACATTTAAAGCCAAAAGTAGTTTTTTTTTATTATAGATAGAAAGAATGTAGAGGGATTACAACATCTCCCTGGTTTTTATTGTTGCCTGTGTCCCAGTTAGGGAGATCCACCCTCTTTATGTGTTCCGTGACCGTTGTCAGCTTGAATATAAATGAGTGAAAATTCCAAATTTTGAGTCGTCACCAGAGAAAGAATAGAGGGGAAATCTTCCAATGGAGGTACTAGTTCTGTTGACAACTCTCTTCTTTTAGTTCCTTTTGAGGCTATGAGACAGGAAGTAAAGGACGCAGATGGCGAAACAAAATTACAACGGTTATAACCCTCACCTGCTTTATTAAAAACAAATATTAAAAAAAGTTGTCTTGTTACACTTTTAATATAGGTGTACTTTTGCTAATATTATCATGGATAAAAGATTATAGAGTTCACATGGCATGGGATCTATAGGACATCTTAAATTAATAAATGTCATACATTAAAACTGCCATTTTATTTGCTATCTGCATTCTCTCTGTTTCTTAAAATTCCTTAAAAACCTATATAATTGGGTTGATGTCATGTGGGCAAACAGATTCACAGTGGATTGACAAGCACTGAATCTGAACACTCAAGTCATGTTGTATTCAAGCTTTTAACCAATTAGTACAAAGGATAATGCCCTCAAAGGAATCATTGAACAGAAGTGGAATGTTAAAATGTTGTGTCCCAAAAAGTATTCTTTGTAATGCAAGATACTCCATAAATATGTAACATTGCTTGTGAAGCAAGAAAGCATTTATTCTCGCTTGTATATGGCCTCGGATGAATAGCTGTGCTCTCAATATCACATGGGACAGCCTAGAGCCATAAAGCACTAAAATTTAATTAACACAACATGTTTCTATGCAGTCATGCAAACTATTAAAGACTACAGTGAGTACAAAATTAAACATAAAATAATAAGAAAATTAATTAAACAACAAAATGAATTACAGAAAAATTGTGTACAACATACGGTATACATACAATCACAAGGATTATATTCATGCTGTTGTACTCTCTATGTAATCCTTTTCTGTGATATAGTTAATGTTATAGATAATGTAATTTCACGTGAAGCAATAAACAGTACAAAGAAGCACAAATTCCCACATCTAGCTCATTCCTCTTGCAAAATAGAATATCTAAATCGGACCTGCAGTCAAAACTTCTGTTGTAGTTTTTGGCAGAGTGGATCAGGGCATGTGTCAAGTTTTAATTGCCGTCTGTTTTCCTTCTGGGGAGGTACATCCACAGTTTCAGTCTTCTCATCTTTGCCACTGCCACTGATAATATACTGCAGAACAGCACAATCCCCCAGCACATGTTACAATCTGCTCAGATCTAAAATTCAACTTAATAAAGGATGTCCCAATTTCCTTGGCTTAATCCCATGTGACATAATATAAACATGCTGTATTGGTTCCACTTACCTCCTGGGCTCTTGGGTCACAACCTATTTCAAGAAACCCCAGACACCAACAAAGAAACCATGAATACAAAGTCTGGATGGCATATATATATATATATATATCAGTAAAGCTAAATTTAGTGAACACTCTCAATAGATTTTTTTTGCACACATGTTAAAATGCATATTTTAAGCCCAGAGAGTACTTTGTGAAAGCAGATACTCTGTAGAATATGGTGGCAGTTGCACTTCTATTTTTGTATCACACGATAACGGCTCTACTGGTTTTAAGCAATCTTCAGGTCTAAAATATGCATTTTAATATGTGTGCAACAAAGTGAGACTGTAATTTGTCCATACTAGGTTAGTTTTACACAAGGTAACCAAAAGCAACCAGTACTTTACCTTTGCTATGCTCCTTCATCAACTCAATCTGCTATGGATCCCTAGACGTTCATGTGCCAGTTTTGAACTTCTGAGGAAGTCAAAACTAAGGCCCCTTTCACACAGTCTGATTAGGAGGGGATCTATGCACGGATCCCCTGCTGACTGGAACACATGTTATTGTTGTGACATCCATGCTCATCCAGTTTTTCCTTCATCTTGCAATGGAGAAAAAATGGACAGATTACTTCTGATCCAGCACGATCAGGTCCAGCGAAACAGAACTCTAATCCATTTATTTTTCGGGACCTGACCGGAGCCAGGGTAACCGGAATCCCATTTGTTTAGTTCCAGCTGCTCATAGACTAGCATTGGACTTCCGATCAGATACGCCTTAAAAAAATTGACAGGCAGACCTTACACAGTGTTGTGCACACAATCCCTGTTCCCAGATGACAATGCTGGGGCCTTCTAATGCTGGGGGCTAGACATGTAGCCCTGCAAAAAAAAATTGTTTTGTTTTGGATCGATTAGGATTTTAATTTCTTTCGTTTTTCGAATTTCGGATCAGCAATTCGTTTCGGTTCGTTATTCGGATTTTGTATCCGTCCGAAGTTCCACAACAGGAAGTCACATGACCGTGCCTGTAATGCAACCCCCAACAGCCAAAAACAAATGTGATTGGCCAGAGAATAGTCTCCTGTCTGATTTAGTTTCATTTTCAATTAAATTCAGATGGATCCGAATTTTTGTTAAAGGAACATTCTAATTCTTTCACTTTTGGACATGTTCGATTTCAGAAATTCGGATGCATCAATGTCCGAATTTAACAAAATTTCTATGAATATCCATTCAGAACGAAATTAAATTTACATGTTTACTGGAGGCTCCTTGTGGGGAGGCAGGTAGTGGGGTAACACAAGCAAATAACGGCCACTTATGGTTCTTCCTTTAAAGCAAGCTTACTTTAAAAAGCCAATTTTCCTGAAGCAGAATCTTGTTCTCAGAAATGCTGAATTCATTATAACTTGAACTTTTTAATAATTTTTAATGATATTATCAGTAAATTAATTTAGTGTTCAGCGGCTGCTTGGCAACAAATGTAAATCTTTGCAGAAGTTAAATGTGTACTTTAGACGCACTGAGCCCTTTTCGATGCAGCCTATAACATACACATTTCTGAAAGGGCACAGTTATCTACCCACAGAATCTTGTTTCTGAGGTTAAGTCTAGAGTAAACATTTCAACATTCAGACATTTATGAATTCCTAATAACTTTCATATTTATGCAGAAACTTCAGTATGTGTGTGTTTTCCCATAGATTATTAGGTTTTAATGAATGTCTGTTGCCATTAAAGCCACAGACATTTTATTTATGCAAGAACACCCATATGCTTGAGAAACTCGCTATTCACTGCCTAATGCCCATATGTTTGGTTTTGATATATCATATTTCAGTAGCAACTTTGCGGTATTATTTTAGGCAGTTAGGATAACACTTAAACCAGTGTTAAATAGACTGTAATACTTTGACAGAACATTAAACATATTTTCATTAATGCCTGAATAAGTTGTTTTTTATGCATATTATTTTTACCCCCACAGGAGTGAAAAATTATATTTATCAGAGAAAGTAAGGTAAACCCAGACAATAGAGGACATTAGGCACTCTTTAACCGTAAAGGGAATTTACAGCCCGTTATTAATAAATATGCTTCTATGTATAGCTTCTCGATATATACATGCATATAGAGGCAGCCATACATTTTCATTACACAAATTCATATATTGTAAGTTCAGATCAGCAATGCTGCCTAGTAATTGTGCTTAATTGTCTTGTTTTAAAGACAAAAAAAAAAAAAAAAAAAAAAACTTACTTTCCTAAAAAAAAAAAAAAAAAAAAAAAAAAGAAAACCTTTGACAGTCTTGACAAAGGCTTTACAGAAAGCAGCATCGCCTCCCTCTTAAAAAAAAAACACTTGTCAATCTTGACAAAAAGCAGCCTCTGTGGCCATTTTCTTCAGATGCTGCTCAATGATTGTATCTCTGCTAGTTGTACAGCAGGGATGTTGACCATACTTCCTGTTATACAAATCACTAAGAAAGAGGGAATCATCGAAACGGATATATATAATCATGCAAATAACAAACAGCAAGCATGGAAAACATAAAACTCAGATCAAACATAACTTTTGGTAAGCACCATCAT